GGAAGTAGGAATGTAATTTTGGGACGCGCCTTTCTTCAGATCTACTTTAACCGCTTTTTCACATTATAAATTTTGAAATGTCATCAAATTTTGACGGCTAGTTTATTTCTGTGACTTTCTTATATTACAGAAATTGTTGAAACGATACGGGCAGAAAATCAACGCGCTTCCATGCAAATGGCTGCGGCTGTGGCAGCCGGCACCGCCAAGCCAGCTGTCCAAACCATTGTTACGGATGGCCTCGAATGTCACGAACAACTTGCTGCTTCCCCAGCCCCTATGGCTGTTGTGTCAAAAAAGGTTTTTTTCCTGTCAGTTAGCAGCTCTTTCGTGGTCAGTGATAGCTGCTTTCTTAGGTGGTTGAACAAGTGTTCAATGGTCAGCGATCCGATGGCGAAGAGACCATACTGCAGCCTCGACCAATAAATGAAGCAACGACGCCTATGGTGGACGCCAATTGTCTTCCTCGAACTAGGTAGATCTTTCTCCCAAGACGTTCTAGTTTAGTGTAGCTAAAAAAATATCCAAAGATGTGATCCCACACGGTCAAATTCTACAAATCCGCTGAGGCGTGATGAAGTTCCGAGCATAAAGCTCGTGTCCGCTAATGTATGGATACCTCCGCGCCCTGAGGTGACTAGCCATTCTGTCATTTCGGTCTTGTTTTAGTTGTTCTTTTTTACTATCTAGGACCGTTCCAACTCATCTCGGGACCCAAACAGTATCCGAGCTGTACAGGAAGTAGTTGCTGAATTGAGAGAGGACAACGAAGCGGCGAGTTTGTTTTTTCTAACTGATCTCAAAATTATTTTTTCCCTACAACTTTCTTCTCTTTCTTTTGTTGTTTTTCATGTGTATTCTTCAGGAGAGAAGTACATGCTCATCACCGGTACTGCGGATCCTAAACAGTAATGGTCATGCGGCTTCGCCGTTAATGCCTCAAGGCACAAAGTGTCAGATATGTGGAGTGAACGCTGAATCCCCAATTGATTTGCAGGTAACACTATTTTCTTCTCAACTACATCCGTGCTTGTTAGTTTTATCTTTGATTTTTTTTAACCTGATGCTTCTTCTGTTCCAGGTTCACTTATACTCAGATCACATCTCAATACGTGATGGGAAAGACCTGAAGTGTCCGAAAAGACATTGTGACAAAGTTTATCCCAACAAAGAGAGTCTGAGAATGCACATTATTGCCCATTATCAGCAACGTGTTGATGCAACTCCTGGTATGTTGGGTGCTTCTGTTTTAAGCAGTTTTAATGTCGATTTTCGAATGATTTGCTCTTCGCTACTTTTCTCATCATGTTGTGCAGATTTTTTATATTATAGCTGATATGTTGATTTTAGCTGATTTTTAGAAGCTCGAGAAGATGACTCAGTTTCATCCGTGACTTCGGCCATGGCAAGTCGTCTGGCGGAAGATGTTGCTGATGCGCGCGCTTCTCCCATGTCTGACGCTAGTGATGGCTCCTGGCCGAGCCCTGCTAGGTATGCTGCAGTGGTGTTTATTGTGGTTTTCTAACATTTGGTTAAATTCTGAACTTTAGCGTTGAAGTTTCGCGCTCCGGAACAGCCTCCGAGGCAAAGAAAGCTCAGGAAGAAGAGGTAAAACCAAAACTCCTTAGGCTAGATGCCAATCTGTCTTAATAGTTCAATTTCAGCAAATGAGTTTGCCTTGTACTTTATGCAATAAAACCTTCAGTGACGCGGTATCTCTCCAACAGCACTGGTTCGGTCACGTATCTTCAAGAGTCCACGTTTGTCAGGTAGCCAGCAATTAGTATAATTTCTGCGATCCATATTCTTTTGACTGCACCTGCTACTTTACGAATCTAACCACTCTATCGATTAGATTCTTTTTCCATGCTCTTCCTGTTTTATCTATAAAAATTAGTATGAAACCATTTGTATTTCATAAACTGTACAACATC